TGCATGGCTTACCATCACAAAAAATGGAAAATCAGAATAATGAGTTATGTAACCTCACATCGGTGAGGATGGAACATTTAAAGAAGACCATCAACAGCCAGTACTGATAGAGTGTGGTAAAAGAGAAACTATTGGTGGAACTGTCCCCTGGTTCAACAGTATGGAAAACAGTATGGACGATTCTCAAAAAATTAGAAATTGAGCTCCCATTTGACCCAACAATACCAGTCCTAGGAATATATACCAGAGAGGCAAAAAAGTATAGTCAAAATTACATCTGCACTTGTATGTTTTTTGCTGCACTGTACACAAGAGTCTCCTGCCCCCACGCCTGGCTGTCCTCGCCGGGGCCCCTTGGAGGGGGGTGGGTTGAGTTTCCCTCCCTGCCCCGAGCAGAGCTCCAGCAGCCGAAGACCTCCAGAACCAGCCACCACCATGCTGAGACCACTCTCCTCACACACATGAAGGTACTAGCAGAGGAACAAAGGTATGCGGTCCCAGGACTGAGATCTCCAAGCCTGCTTGGATTGGGGCTGAGCATCCTCCACCCAGATCCTCCATCTTCCAGTAGGCAGGGGTCACACCCACCAACTGGCCCCCTGGCGCCGTGTAATCCCATCAACAGCCAAGACCTAGAGACTATAAAACCCAGCTTCTGGAAGCGCATGGCCGCATTTGCGGCCGCATGACATCTTATTATCTCATTCTTACTTTGGACAACCAGGCAGGCTACCAAGTGTAAACTGCCCACATGGCAGAGTCTGGCAAACTCCCCGTGGCATACCCAATATGCCAAATACCAGTAACAATGATGGGTCTCATTCTCCTAACCCTGAAAGAGCCTTGAATATGGCACTTTTTAAAATCTCAGGGCTAGGACGAAGGAGATGTTACTGCGGCCTGCTCGAGGCAATCGACCAACAACAGGATGATTGTGATCATGATCATTCACAATAGCCAAAATCTGGAGGGGAAAAACAAACCCAGTGCCCGAGAACAGATGACTGGTTAAAGAAACTTTGGTACATCTACACAATGGAATACTATGCAGCAGTTAGAAAGGATGAAGTCATGAAATTTGCAAACAAGTGGTTCTACATGGAAAGTATCATGCTAAGTGAAATGAGTCAGAAAGAGAGGGACAGACACAGAAAGACTGCACTCCTCTGGGGAATATAAAGTAACAGAATGGGAGATGAACACCCAAGAATAGTTGAGATAAGTACCAGGAGGTCTGCTCCACAGCTTGGAAGCCAGCAGCATGTGCTGGGGGAAAATGCAGCTCAGATAGAGAAGGGAACACCAAGTAAAGGGTGTTTGGAGGACTCGCTCGGGATGGAGACACACGCTGAAAGTAGACTATAGACCGAACACGATGGTCACTCAATACCTCTATTGCAAACCACAGCACCCTAAAAGAAAGAGAGAGCAAAAGGGAATGCCCTGCCATAGAGGTGGGGCGGGGTGGGGCCGTGGGAGGGGAAGCGCTACTGGGTTCATTGATGGTGGAGAACGGGCACTGGTGGAGGGATGGGTACTTGATCATTGTATAACTGAAACCCAAACACAAAAATATATAAGTCTATAACTGTACCTCATGGTGTTTCACTAATAAAAATAAAATAAACATTAAAAAACAAAAAACAGTATAGAAACTACCCCCCCCCCGAAAAAAAAACATTGACAGTTGAGCTCACATATAGCCCAGCAAGTCCACATCTTAAGAACACAATTATCGTCATTCAGAAAATATATGTTTGCTCCTCTGTTCATTGCGACTCTGTTCACAATAGCCAAGATGTGGAAACATCCAGGTGCCTAAGAACAGGTGAGCAGGTAAAGAAGCTGTGGCTGATGGTCCAAAAACACACTGCAGAAAAGCCATCTGCACTCCCGTGTTCACTGCAGCACTATTCACAGTAGCCTGAATCTGGAAACAACCCGACTGCCCAAGAACAGATGAGTGGGTAAGGAAACGATGGCACTTATACACAATGGAGCACTCCACAGCTTAGGGAAAATGGAATCATATAAGTTGGTTACACGTTGATGGCCATGGAGAATGAGCATCACATCAATAAGTGAGATGAGTCAGAGTGAGAAGGACAGAAATAGAATGATAGCACTCATTTGTGGGGTCTCTTTTTTAAAGTGCAGGTTGTGAATAATAACCAATGACAGGGGAAACAAGGGGCCATGGTGACTGGTCCATGGTGTGAAGCTTGTCACCAGGTGGGAGGGCAATTGGGTGTGCATTTAGAACTCATAAGGGACCATATGACAATAATAGTTGGAAACGATAACTGAATAAAAACTGGGTGCTGAAAGAAGTAAAAATATTTGCACGGTAACCGTACACTAACAGTATTGCCAACAACAGTGCCTAAAAGGAAAAGGAGAGGGGAGGGGTGATTCAATTTAAAAAAAAAAATTCAAAGAACTGTGGACCTGCAAAGGAATACTACTCAGCTCTGAAAAGATAAAATGCTGGAATTTTCTACTGTGGGAATGGAACTGAGGAAGAGATCATGCTGAGCAAAGGGAGTCAAAGAAGGAGAACAGATGCTGGTTCGTTCATTTGTGGGGTCCAAAGAAACATGGCATGGGAACAGTCATCACACAGTGATGACAGTGTGTCTAGAGAAGAACTGAGCTTGCTGAGTGTGTGTGGGGGGGGGGGGTGGAGTGGGGGGGAGGCCGGTGGGGGAGAGGGCCCTGGAGGCAGGTGGAGGGACGCCGAGACTCTGGTGGCTGGTGTGGCTTGGCGGCATTGTGTTTCAAAAAAACATTCATGCTAATAGACGGTCAATAATAGTGGCTAAATTTTGTAAAAAACTGTTTCTTAATGAGAGCACCACAACGAGGCCACGTGCGTAGACCTCACCACAACACCACCATCAGCTGCACCAAAGGGAAGGAGAGGCAAGGAGAGATTTAAAAAAATAATTCAGGGGCTGGAGAGATAGCACAGCGGGTAGGGCATTTGCCTTGCACACGGCCGACCCGGGTTCAATTCCCAGCATCCCATATGGTCCCCTGAGCACCGCCAGGAGTAATCTCTGAGTGCATGAGCCAGGAGTAACCCCTGTGCATTGCCGGGTGTGACCCAAAAAGCAAAAAAAAAAAAAAATTTTAAAAAAATAATGATTCAGGGGCCTGGAGTGATAGCACAGCGGGTAGGGTGTTTTCCTTGCACACAGCCGACCTGGGTTTGATTCCCTACATCCCATATGGTCCCCTGAGCACTGCCAGGAGTCATTCCTGAGTGCATGAGCCAGGAGTAACCCCTGTGCATCACCAGGTGTGACCCAAAAAGCAAAAAATAAAATAAAATTAATGAATAATATTAATTGCTTATCTTAGCCTCTGTCCGTTTTCTACCAGTATCAGTATTGACGTTAGAAACTTTCCTATCCTTTGTGTTTTACTGATCTTAGTTTTACCATTTTTTATATTTCCTATTCATAGCTCTATGTCGATTCATCTCTGTGCATTTTTTTATCCCTTGGGCCTGTTTTCTTTGTTCAGTCATTGCTTTCTCCCTGCACTGTGTTCTCTTCAAAATGGGGGCCCCCGTGTAGGTTACTTAACTAGTAAGAGCTTAACATAGCACCTTCCTTGGTAACTGCTTCCTGACGCTGGCTTCATAGATGAGACTGCAACCAGCCGCGGAGGTGCTGACAGGGGAGCTGCTTCCTACTCTGTGATCACAGATATCCCTGCAGACTCTTGTGTCCTTCCGCCAGATCTGTTTTGTGTGAAAGCAGGAGCTGTGGCTACTCAGCAGTGGATCTATGCCACATATCCGCACCACTCTCAAGTCCACCGTCATATACAAAGAAAATGCACGTACTTGGTGTTTGATCTTGACCACATAGATCTAACGTCGCCATCAATTGCTTTCAGTCTTTTCTTTGAAAGCACATAAAGGTTCATATGTGCCAGATTTCATAAGGATCACATGATAAGGTCAAGAAATACAAATACCAACACAGAATTTATATGCCCGATTCACATGTGACAGTGATACTCTCTGACCATATGTTGAGTATAACGCACTGTATGTAAATGCTATTCTTGAAAGCGATCCAATCAATAAATCCTAAAATAAATAACACTTTAATAACACGGTTCAAATAGACTGAAAATGGAATAGATGGACTCTGTGGCAAGAACATCCCTATAAAATTGACATTCAGAGGCCATTAAAACACAGAGAGTCAAACAATCCTGAAACTAAAGAAAAACTGTGAATATTTAGAAGTTTTTTAAAAGCCTACGGAAATGTATGCCAAGATACAATAGTTGTTTTACTTAAAGAGCTCTTGCAATAGAAACTGTGCATTGCCAAGCATGAAAGGGCAAATTTGACTTGCCATCACCAAGACCTGAAAATTACTTTTGAAACAATATACAATATTAACCAGAAAAAAAAGCTTAAAACATCACAGTATTTAATAGAAAGGTCAGAACAGGGGGAAAATGTCAGATTTTAATCAAAATTGGGCCCATTAGAAATTGTCTCATTTTTATCCCTCAAGTAGGTTATGGGAAGGCTACTAGAGTCAACTTCAAAAGCCTCACAGTAAGAAGTGGTGGTAATGTCAGTAAAACACAGAAGCAGATCAAATAACCCCTAAGTAGTGCTAATCCTCTGCATCTTTGAACTTGTACATGCCTTCTCTTAAGCTGAAAGGTCACCCTTTCTTTTTTAATTTGTTTCCAGCTTCCCATTCAAAAAAAATCCAGTGAATCCAACTGTTGCTGGCTCTTCAGGAGCCCAGAAAGTTTACCTTCTCTCAAAGATGAGGGAGGGAGGGGTCATATCTGAACTGACTCTGTTGCTCTTTGGCCTGGAGGACGTAGTTTTAGCATCCTCCCTTGCTCAGACCAGTGACGGTTGCACACAACTCTTGAAACTTGCTTATTTCTCAGCTCAGTCTCTTCCACCAAACTGAGATGTTTGCCATGTAATGAGTGTTTTTATTCTGTCCCTTTAGATCCTGGGAAGACTCTGCCAGAAGCCCTTGATTACTGCACAGTTTGGCTACAGACAGTGCCTGGAGAAATAGACAGCAGAAGTGGAATTCCACCCTCCCTTATAACGCTGCAAATCAAAGACTTCCTTAACGGACCAGGTAAGATGGTCGCCCTGCAAATGCGCGCACCTTACTCAGGTGAATGAAAGGGGAATAGAGCCTACTGATGGTAGGCTCTGCAGCTGCCATTGTAGAGATCAAAAGGCAAATATCAGTATGCTTTTAAAATTACCTTTAGTTTGTGAAAATGGATGTCATTTAAAGGATATTTGACTAGAAATGAAAGATTTAAGATTTTCTTTCTACTTTTTGACTGTGGGTTGTGTCTGTGTTATTAATCTGGAAAGTGTAAAATCGGTGGATGAGGGAAGGAGGAGGGGATGGAGAAAGGAAAGGGAAAAGGAAGGAATGGGGGCTGGCTGGTTGGATGAGTGGGTGAATGGTAGATAAATGGATGGGTGGTTGATAGATGGATGAGTGGATAGATGGGTAGATGGATAAAGTCCAACGTAGACATATATAACCTGGTATACATTGATGTGACTAGGTTGTTAAACATTTATTTCAAATGCTTAGAAAACTGCTTGAGACATATAGAACAGTAGATATTAGATACAGATGTTAAGATGCATTGAGTGGACTGGAAATAACAGGAGGAGCCTGGTACAGAGTCTTGGGCACTTTGTTAATGTAATGTGCCAACTGTACGTCAAAACCATGAATGCTGACACTGTTGTAAACATGTGACCTAAACCGTGATAGTCAAAGAATTTTTCATTGAAAGAAACAAAAATATATTTGGTGTAGCACAGCGGGTAGGACGTTTGCCTTGCACACGGCCAACAGGGTCGACTCAAGTTCGATTCCTCTGCCCCTCTCGGAGAGCCTGGCAAGCTACCGAGAGTATCTCGCCCACACGGCAAAGCCTGGCAAGCTACCCGTGACGTATATGCCAAACACAGTAACAAGTCTCACAATGTTACTGGGCCCGCTTGAGCAAAATCGATGAACAACGAGAGGACAGTGACAGTGACATATTCATTAAATTAAACATATAGACCCCAAACTAAACATATAGTCATTCCTATTTTATGACTAAGGAAGTCATTATTTTAAAAAATGAAATCAATTGCCCACATTCAAAATGTCTTGGCTCTGAGCTTCTACACTCCACTGAATGTAGGTAACTAAAGATTTCTCCACGTTCTCCTCCTCCTTGTTCTTCCTGCTCTAGTCCGCCTTCCACCTTCTCACGTTGCTCTTTTTCTTTTAATTATTCTTCCCGCGGCTTAGTAAGAGTGTAACTATTGAGCAGAAATGCCCACATTTCAGGTTTTCCTTTGTTTATACTTGCAGTTCTTCGGAACTTATCATCGGAAAAATACCAGTTCCTTCATTCTAAAATAAAACAGGCCCGAGAGGCAGTACCAGGCTTAGGGTGCTCTCCTTGCTGTACCTCACAGCCACACCGCCCCACAGCCTTGCCGATATGCTGGGAGGCCCCCACACACTGCCCAGGGGGGCCTGGAAACCCACAACACCCCAGGACTGTAGCAACACAGTCCTTGGACCTTTACTTTGAATTGTCTACCCCACCCCCTCAACCTGGTGAGTAGCTGGGAAGGTCTCAGGCTTCCTGAATACTGCCTGGCACTCCCCCACAGGGAGTTACAACAGGGATGTTCCTGTCATAAGGTCTCGAGAGGGGTGAAAAGTAGCCCTGTGTGGACAAGTCACCTTGTGGCAGGCCAGTGAACTCAAGATCCACCACTGCTGCTGGCAGGGCGAGCTGCCAGTCCTGTCCAGAGTAAACATGTAAAATCCTCCGCTCTGCTGTTGCAGACCAGTTCCCAGCTTCTTTCACCTTTGGGGCATTTGTTACTCCCCTGCTGTGTATCTTTGTATCCCAAGTCGGTGTGAGGTTGGAATGTACCCACAACACCCAAAGAGTAGGCATTTGTAAATCACAGTGCTTTAAAGAAAAAAACAAAACAGTAGATCACATTTCCTTGTACCATGATCACCTTTGACCCCAGGAAGGAAAAGGTCAGAGAAGGAAAGAAATTGAGGGGGAAGCAAGAAGAGGAGAGAGGGAAGTAATGGGGGAGCAGGAGTCGGGGCCACCCACGGGCAACCCACGGGCACACAGAGCATGTGGGAGTGTGACGGTACCTTACAGCCAAAGCACACCTCAACAACAATGAGAACACAACGCGGGTGTGAAATGTGCCTGGTGAGGTGACAGGCCCGGGAGGGTCAGGAGCGCGTGGAGCCCGGGGATACAGAAGAGGGAAGTTGACAGAGCTGGTGGGATTGGCGTTGAAGTGTTGTAGGCCTGACTCGTCTATCAGCAGCTTCACAAATCACTGCTCCTTGATCATTGTCACTGTCACTGTCCTCCCGTTGTTCATCGATTTGCTCGAGCGGGCCCAGTAATGTCTCCATTGTGACAGTTGTTACTGTGTGTGGCATATCGAATATGTCACGGGCAGCTTGCCCTCCCCAAAAAAAAGACTAAAAATAAAGCCTCTGCTGGCCCAGTTCTTCTTAAGCTTGTTTCTATAGTGCAGGTATTTGAACTACTTGAAGAGCTGTTCCTAGTCTTAGGATGTAAACATGGAGGGTTTTTTGTTGTTTTTCTCTGCTAACTTCCCTTCCGTTCCCCTGCCTCACACTTTGGAAAGCTCAGTCTCCGGTTGGGGCCTACCGGTTTCTTTTCTGTGGACCTCAGCTGTCCCTTTGTTTTCTTGCTTCACTGAGCACCTCTGAGGAAGATCCTGCAGCATTTTCCTTCTTCTGACTTAATAAATTCTCTTAAGGTGAGCTCCTCTGGGTGCGTCCCCATTGTGGCAATGTGCATGTTTCACACTGAGTATCTTCCAGCTGAGTATGTGTCCTCATACACAGTCTCCTTGACTGTTCCTCTGTTGTTGAGACTCAGGTTGTTTTTAGACACTGGCTCTAGGAACAGCGCCACAGCCAGTAGGTGTGCTTAAGCCTTCTGGATGAGTGGTTTTGTATCTGGGCAGTTGACCCCAAGCTGTGCAATTTCTGGATCCTATTGGAGTGCTAACCTTTCGAGAGTTTTCTGTACTTCATATTACCTAAGAGAAGATGAGTCAGATCTCCACCCCACCAACCATGAGTGGGGGTTTCTTTTTAACTGCATCCCCCTTAACATGGCTGTTACCTGTCTTTGATATTGGGCAATCTCATCAATGTGAGAAGAGATCTTGTCATTTTGACATGCATTCCCTCAGTAATCAGTGATCATGAGCACTTTTTCATGGGCCTTTTGTCCATCTGTATTTCTTCCTTGGGGAAGAATCTATTTAACTATTTGCCCCAGGTTTTGATGGGCTCATAAGACATCTGTTACAGTTACTGAGAATCAAACTCTAGATATTTGGGGGCACAGGAGAGGGAAATGTTACAAGGGATGTGGGTTCGGTTTTGTTCTCTTGGGGATGGCAGGTGGGCACACCTGGGGGTATGTAGGACCTGTTCCTGACTCTGCTCAGGGATTTCTCCAGTGGTCCTCGGAACTATGGGGTGTCATAGGACCGTTTGGTGTCAGAGAGAAAACCCAGACCTCCCACAGGCAAAGCACAGAGTAAGTCCTTTGAACTCTCTTTCCTGACCAGGATGGGGTTTTTTTGAGGATTTTTTTTGCAGTGTTTTCATTGTGAAAATCAGTTATATTGTCCAGTGACTGCTTTCAGTTTTCAAAGTCGAAAAGATTTTCATCAAGAGTACTTTTGTTAATAGCTGAGATCAGCACCAGGAGGATTACTCCATAGCTTAGAGGCCAGCCGGGCATTCTAGGGGAAAGGGCAGCTCAGATAGAGAAGGGAGCACCAAATAAAGGGTTTTGGGAGGATCCTCCCAGGAGGGTAGATGCATGTTGAAAGTAGACTATAGACCAAACATGATTGCCACTCAGTGCCTCTTTTGCACACCACAACACCCAAAAGGAGAGAGAGAACACAAGGGATTGCCCTGCCACAGAGGCAGGGTGGGATGGGGGAGGGCGGATGGGGGTGGGAGGGATATTATCCATGGTGGTGGAAAATGGGCACTGGTGGAGGGATGGGTATTTGATCATTGTATAATCGAAACCCAAGCACAAAAAATTGTAAATCTAAAAAAAAAAAGAGTACTTTTGTTTATTCAAATACTTCCGGGAAGATTTGTTTTATTATTTTCTTGTTTGGGGGTCATACTCAGTGGTGATCAGGGATCAGTCTTGGTGAGGCTTGGTGGGGGACCGACCATACGGGTTGCCAGGGATCAGCACACGGGAAGGTAATGTGTCAGCTTTGTGGGAGTCCACTAACATGCTCCCTAAAAGCCTGCAGCTGTTCCAGAATTTACTGTCTTAGGGGGAAAATGACCTTACTATGAGCAACTTCTTTTATAAAGTAGATCAGATATTATTCTATAGGACTTTTATTTTCTGTATGTATCCCACCATATACTCAGAGTATCACTATATATTAATTTCAAGATCATTAGGAATAATAGGGCACATTTAGCTATTTTGGCCATAGGAATGTACCAGAGATTTTCAGCAATTCAAGACAATCTCACTTTTCCCAGATTTTAAATAATAGTACACTGAGAAATATGGTCTGTGTCAAGATTGGAGCAAGAAGCAAGCTTCTGCCTTATACTATTCTCCAGTATAATTTACTTCCTTTGAAAACATGTTAGATTATAATAATGTTATTATATCACGGTCATGGTCCTCCCGTTGTTCATCGATTTGCTCGAGCGGGCCCAGTAACATCTCCATCATGAGACTTGTTGTTATTGTGTTTGGCATATCGAATACGTCACGGGTAGCTTGCCAGGCTCTGCTGTGTGGGCGAGATACTCTCGGTAGCTTGCCGGGCTCTCAGAGAGGGGCGGAGGAATCGAACTCAGGACGGCCATATTGGCCGCTTGTAAGGCAATGCCCTACCGCTGTGCTATCGCTCCAGCCCAATAATAGTTACAAATTCATTGCTATTCATCTTTTGCTCCAATTAATTTTCTCTATATGCACATCTATCATTCCCAAGCCATATTGCTGGTCACATTCCTAAAGTTGTATCTTC